TTTTTTTTAATTTAAAAAAAAAAAAAAAAAAAAAAAAAGCAGGACCCACCTTGTAACCGCTGTGCATATTGCAGTACTAGTTGATTGTAGTGGGAGAGCTGTGATGTATAAGGTCTGGCCCTCTGTGATTATCCTTTCAATTAACTGTTTCAGTTTTCTACTTCCAGTTAGACCTTTTTGACTTTCCTTCAGGTCACACTGAGAGTCACTGTTGGACTGATTGGGGACAGAATCCAGGAAATTTGTCTCCGTTCCACTTGTTCTAACTGTTGTGTCTCTGTATTTAAGACGCACTACATTTCTGCATGTGAGCATGTTGCTTGCTGCTAGCTAGATCTAAGTCCAGATGTTAACAGTGCAAGCAAAGAATGGTAATGAAGACTTTTTTTTCTTACCACACTATATTGGGATTTTGACAGTGCATCATATCTACAGTTATTTCAATGTTGTTATATTAGTAGTTTCTCCCTGTCTTGCTCCCTTAGCATCAAGTGGCATGTTTCACTCTCTCTTGAGCTTGCCTCATAGCACACATTGGAGTGGCAGCAGTGTCTTGTACATCACTAATGACTCCAAGCAATATATAGAAACATATGGTGATATTTCAGCAGAAAAGGAAAACAGTCCCTTTCTGGTAACTGACTTGGAATTATAAATATGTTTATTTCTCCCTTAGGAAATGGCTCATGGAAGAGAGGAGACAAACACGACCTTGAAGCAAAGCAAGCATACTCATCCCTCCAAACAGTCACTCTACTGAGGACAGTGAAACCTGAGTTTGAGAAGTTTTCCACAGAGGTGAAAAGTTCTGTTCAGAAACAAGGGCTGCATGAGGATGATTACGTAAGTACTTGATTATGAGCCTGGAGCTTTTAGCATTCTCAAAAACACCTCCTGATTTAAACTAAGAGTGACAAAGTGTCCTGGTCTGTGTTAGTCAAATACCACCTGGATTTAGCTGTGGACCTCACCACTGCCTTTGTGAACAATTTTTTCTGATAACTTGGTTTCTTCCACAGCTAAAGACAATTTCTCCCCTTGTTTTTTCACAGTCATACACAACAGACTGCCTTTTCCTTGTCACTTTATTCATCAAGGAGCACCTGAGGGGGCTCTGTACCTCTCCCTCACATTTTGACCTTTCATCTCAATTCTTTCTAAAGTTATTTTCTTTCTTACTTGACTCTAGCATTCCAGAGTGACTTCTCTTGCTTCATTTCTTTAACTGAATCAGGGTCCCAGCAAGTTATACTTTCTCTGTTGTATCTAGTGATTAAACCACTCACTCTATTTCCTTGCATGCCATAATGAAAATGTTGCTTGTGTAGTTTTGTCTAAATACATACTAAAGATGCCCCACAAAGCTTGGTAAATATTTTAAACCTGGACATACCACTTTCTTCCAAAGAGGGAGATAAGACACTGGGAGTGTCCTACACAAGATGCTTGTGCACAAGACTGATCTACTGTGCAGTAAAGCATCACCATCTACACGTGCACATTTATGGTGCAGTAAATGACTCTACTGTGCAGTTAGCTACTACCCATAAATACAGGTAGTAAAGTAACTGTGCAGTAGATACTGCAAAGTAGCACATATGTAGATGGTGGCCAGGAGCAAATTTGCTCTGGTCAGCCCTTACATTAGGGGGCCACAGGGGATGGGTAACTCCCCCAGTACTTGCACCATGTAGCTTCAGGCTCCCCCTAGAGGCTGGGAGCCAAGCAACACTGGGGCGGGGTAGCATTTTATCCCCATCCCCACCATCCCAGAGCTGAGAGCCAAGCAGCACTAGGAGGGGCCAGCAGGGGACTGCATGCTTAGGGGCAATCAGCACGGGTTCATCAGTAGCAGGTCCTGTCAGACCAACCTGGTGGCTTTTTATGATCAGATCACCAGATCATTAGATGCAGGGGTAGCAGTGGACATAGTCTTCCTGGACTTCCGGAAGGCTTTTGACACTGTCTCTCACC